AATAATAATAATAATAATAATAATAATAATAATAATAATAATAATAATAATAATAATAATAATAATAATAATAATAGTAATAATAATATAAATAATAATAGCAATAATAATAGTGAAAAATAAAAAATAATAAAAATACAAATTCATTTTGCTTATTTGCTCGCATACAATGATACAAGTTAAAGTTAAGTTAAAATTTAAAAAAAGTTGAAACGACTAAAAAAAGAGAAAATCAAAATTTGCCAACAAAAAATCAAGAATTAATTGTTGAAAATTATCAAACTTTAAAATGTAAAAAAAAGGAAAAAATCAATATGTCATACATTAACTCACTTTACTCATTTGTTTTTTATAATTTAAAAATAATAAAAATTAAAAGTAAAAACAAATAAACAAACCAACAACATTTGTTGATTCACATGATGCTACTATATTATGATTAATGCCATCATGTCGACAATTTGTTATATCATATTCATTTTCTTCACAGCGAATATTATCCATTACTATTGGCAATTCACCCCGTTCCGGAAATATTTGCCAATTTTCATGATATTCCGGATCCATTATAAGGCCAAGTTGGTTACATGCTAATAATGCCAATTCTTTGGTCCAACTACGATTACATATTGTACCCCATTGATTGTTAACATATACTTCTAAACGACCAGCAAATATCTAAAAAAAATTTAATTATAAATGAGGAGAGAGAAATAATTAGGATAAATATTTGATAACTTAGCACTAATTACAACATTATTAATATTAATACTGTCAGTTTTATTGATTGACAGTATAATATATCAAGTTATTAATTAGGAAATATTGATTAAGTAGTAATTCTCCTGTTTTAGCGTAATACAATAGCATGGCATTTGCAAACTTATAGAGTATTTAGAATTTAACAGGTCTTCCTGGAGGGATTACAGAAATAATTTGTAATCGATGAATATTTGATAAGTTAAGTTGCAGTAATTATAGACGAAATTCATTGCTAATACTAATACCGCTATTTTCATCAATTAATAAGTATAACATATCAAGGTAATTAGTAAGGAGTGATATATTCATTATTCAAATAGTGATCTGCATCATTTCAACGTAATACAGTATTCAGATTTAATATAATAGCTCTTATTAATGGAATTACTGAAATAATTTCTAATTGATAAACATGTGGTTAGTTGAGCTACAGTAATTATATACGATAATCATTTTAATGTTGTATTTTTTTACAACTTTATATTTCAAAAATAATTGTTATATCATTATATAATAAAATATCGTTATATTATTATAAAATAATTGTTACATCGCTATATTATAATAAAATATCGTTATATTATTATAAAATAATTGTTATATCGCTATATTATATCAATAATTGTTATATTATTTAACAAATAATTGTTATATACATATTGTTATATCCTCTATTCAATATTTTAATTTTGGATAATGCGGTAATATTGTATAGTAACCTGATGCAGTATTGGTACAGTAACTTGATACAGTATTAAGTAAATTATATTTAACATAATAGTAAATACTAACAGCAGTGTTATTATTTTCGTCCACTAAACGAATATTCGATGGATGAGGCAAAATAAACGGTGCACTTGTGAATTTTACCATTTCATCAGAAGAATGCAACTCTGCTCGGACTAATTCACCCTAAAATAAATTTGATGAAAAAATGCCAAATATATTAAATATACTGTAAAATTTAAAATTGTAAAATATTCGAAATGAGGATTTATTTTAACTTAAATCACTGTTTAGATTATTTCATCACATGTTATAAACTATAATTTAAAAATATATGATCAACTTAAAAATATTACCTGAACTAACATTCCTAAACCGTTGTTAAATTGTAATACAGTATCTGGTGATAATGTAAGACGTGCTCCAGGTACGATATTCAAATCATCTATGACTGTATATAAGCCTTTTCCTAAATCTTGATTCTCCCAAATGGTACCACCTAAAATGTATGGTTCACTATCTTTCCGAAATGAACGATAATATTGTTGTACGGTAGTAATATGAGGTCTTCGTTGATTGCATACAGCAGCAAATGGATTTACCTGTAAAATTATCACTTCATTTTTTTTTTCTTTTCTCTTGAAAATATAATTGTTTAAATTTATTTCGATGTGATTAAAATTTTTTCTTTAAAACCTATTTTTTTTCTCGTTTTATTTACAAAATTACTTCTCGCATACTTTTTTCAGAAATAAAGGAAAATTCTTTCCGGAATTTTTTCAGGGAAGAAAAAACATTACTTCCGGAACTTCTTTGTGGTTGTGAAAAAATTTTTTTCATATTTTTTACAGCACAAAAAATAAGGAAATAAATTGCTTGAAAGTATGACAAAGTGAAAAAAAATTACGAAATGTTACATATGAAATGTATTCCCTTTTTGAATTTATTTTGTAAATATATATATTAAAAATAAAAATAAAATTCTTTTTTAATAAACCTTTTTTTCTGTCAAAAATAAATAAAAGTAAAGGACAAACAGATGACTGAAATAATTACTGAAATTAGGAAAATGAATAGTATCAGTAATAATTGTATGAGTAATAAACAAAAAAGAAAATAATTACAACTATTATTTTAATTTATTTTTATTGCTTTGAAATTTTTTTCTTTTCTATTTATATTACCAAATAAGCATACTTCAATAGTAGCTAATGTATAACGATTGAATTGATCAAAAATTCGATGCATAAATAATTCAGGTCTTGGATAACCCCAATTATTTTCTCGAGCATCGATCCATTTAGCATGCTCACCAAGTTCGCTGCCTATTTCATATGCTGCTTGAGGATTTTTGAAACAATTGCGATTGATTATCACATTGCTGCAAATAATTTAATTCGCCGATTAATAATAATAATAATAATAATAATAATAATAATAATAATAATAATAATAATAATAATAATAATAATAATAATAATAATAATAATAATAATAATAATAATAATAATAATAATAATAATAATAATAATAATAATAATAATAATAATAATAATAATAATAATAATAATAATAATAA